TGGTCTCTGGCCTCCACCTCTCAATCAAAGCAGTGATAAGCGGTCAATCAAGCCTGATATAACAAATCGTCGAACACGATCGAAAATCGGCCTGAGCGATCAAAGCTAGTACCCTCTCATCCTCAATAACCCAAGCCGAATGACTATGGGAATGCTCGATCATCGTGAACTCTGGTACGGGCTGCACATAAAACGAGAATCAGTTTTAAGTATATTCATTAAAAAATTACATTAATCGAAGAAATATATATCTAATTTATTCGTATTACCTCTCCCGAACCAATATGGTCTGAACAATGACTCGCCTGAAGGTACAAAACGTCGGGATTCTCCGGTCCCGGATCCATAATGAATAGACCTGTGATTAAAATATGAACATATATACAGAGTGCAATGAAGACAATCTCATACATAACATATTACAAATAACGAGTATCATACGCTTCAAAGATAACAGATACGAATGACATACATGATCTGACATAGTGCAAAACGCTACATAATACAAATGCATGGGTAAAATGAACGCAGTATCATACAGAACATATTACAAATAACGAGTATTATACGCTTCAAAGATAACAACTACGAATGACATAGTGCAAAATGCTACATAATACAAATCAACGCCTAACACTAACTGGAAACCTATTTTTGTTGTGACCCGGTTGATCACATCTACTGCACTTATTTCTCCTCCTAGCTTCTTCACGTCCGTCATCCATACTATTTCTAATACGCACGGAACGAGGGCGCCCCGCCGATCTTTTATACAATGGAGGTAATATTCGTGGCCCATCTTGTGTCCAATGTCGACTATCGTATGGTGGACGAAAACACTCTTTGTATGTTTGTTGATAGTTGTATGCAGAATACCAAGCGTCGACAAATTCATAATGTGAAATGCGAGCACCACCCTGTAGGTCGGAGCAAGCTGCTACAACATGTGAACAAGGAATCAATTGTAGTTGCGGTACATTGCAAGTGCACGTACAAGTGTGATCCACCAACATATTGACTTTGTAAGAGCGATTTTCTCTATGGGTTATTCCCTCGAGCACCTCCCATTCATTAAAACTGTATCGTACAACCTGAAAGGACCGAGCTTGTACAATCCGAGTCGCTAGCATTTCATCAACCTTCGGTGTTAGCTCTGAGCGCATATTTTCACCAAGTTCTCGACGTCGAACAAAGAATTTATTAAGCCTGTAAAAAGTTTTAGCAACTAGTGCCTGTATTGGCATGCCGCGTGCTCCCCTGAGCACGCCATTGAAGCTCTCAGACGCGTTCGTAGTCATCATACAGAACCGTCGACCGCCATCCTCACATAAAGCCCACTTATCAACATTGTTTGGACCCAAACTAGTTTCGATCCAATCATGTGCGGCTCGTGAAGTGAACTTGATCCTCTCTCGTATTTGTTCATAAACATATTTTTCTGTTGCACAACCGGCTTGCCAAAGTAAGTCTTGAACCTGAGCGTTTCCATACTTCTTCTTGAAGTTGTCTCTAATATGTCGCAAGCAATAGCGATGTGCATGTGGTGGCGGGAAATGTCGTTGGAGTGCTCTTGGAATTCCTTTCATCCTATCGGATATGAATGTAATCGACCGCGTCCCCACACTAGGGATATGATATCTAATGCATGCAAAAAACCAAGCCCAATTCTCTGTATTTTCAACATCAACCACTGCGAATGCTAAAGGAAACAACCCGCCATCCGCGTCAACTCCGGTTGCAACAAGCAAAACGCCTTTGTATTTACCATATAAGTGAGTTCCATCAATGCTAAGAAGAGGACGGCAATATCGAAACCCCTCAATACAGGGCCCAAATGCCCAAAATACACCGGTGAACCGCCGTTCTCCACCATCAACGGGGTCCGAAGATACTTCGTAGACAGTCCCCGAATTTTCTCTTTTGAGTGCTTCAAGATAATGAGGTAAGATCTCATACAATTTATCCCAATCCCCGAATATTTTTATCATCGCCTTCCTCCTAGCATTCCAACACTTGTGATATACATCCAAGTTGGTGGCTTTATGCACTAAAAGACGAATATCTTTCGGCCTTAGATCAAGATCCTCCCTCAGATGAGGTAAAATCAAACGATATATAAAAGAAGAGGACGCATTCTTGTTATTCATCTCTAATCGAGGATTGCTACAAGTGTGGAGTACATTGTATGCCGTGATTTTGAATTGCCCACCTACTCTTGAACCCGAGCGTGAATTAAGCTTCCACGGACACCTCGCATTGCCGTCGTGGTGTCCACTATTATCTTCGACATTGTCATCTTTGTGATAGAAACAAACCACATTATAGCTTGTAGTATTATTTTTGGTAGGCCTGAACTTCACATTTTTTGCAATGGAATACGTGCGAATAGCATGAATCAATTTCTCCTTACTCTCGTAAAGATCTCCCTTGATGAATGAGAAGTCCTCGGCCTGTGTATCAACACCGCTATTAGTGCCAATAGGAACACTTTCCATCGCGGAGTTATCAATCCATTCATCTCCTTGAAGTTCATCGGGCGGCAGATCCTCGAAGCCGACATACTCATTATTAACATAACATCCGTCGATGTGTTGGTTTTCCCCGTCATCACGATCTATCAAGGTCATGCTATTAATTTGTAATCCCTCCTCTTCATCATCATTCTCGGATTCAACACTTGCATTATCTTCTTGAATTCCCGTGTTAGTAGCGAAAGCATTCGAAGTGCCCACGAACGAAGGACCACTCATGAATTGTGATTGTGTCCAACATTCATCTTGTTGAGGAGATAAAAAGCCTACAGAATCAACTTCAGGATCCTCCAACATGCGGGAATACATTCCTTCGTAGTTCAACGATTTGCCCAAATCTCTCTGATGTTTTTCAATGAACAATTCGACCGAACGCTTCTCGTCGTGTAAGACATGAATGATACCCATATCGTAGTCACTTGATATTTGAATGCCACTTGTTCTGTTCTCCACAACAGGATAATTGCAAACCACACTGAGGTGATACTCACGTGAGTTAGTTAATGTAAGTTTGTGTAATTCATTAACCAACTCATCGAAAGTACACGATTTTGTTATGAACAACGGTCTCGTCGTGCCTCCTTCATAAACGGGCATATTATTCTCGAGGTAATTAATCTTCCCATCATAAGAACAGAGAATTACAATTCGATCATTCATCGTTACCTCTGAAGAGTGAAAAATTCAATATCAATATTACACGAAAAGCCAAATAAATATTGATTGTTACTAATTTTTACATTTAGGTAGTAACTCTAATTTCCACATTAATTGATAATTTCACCTCTAAATACGCAAAATTATTTAATACGTCTTCACAAAATTCGTAAATAATTCACAATTAAATTCTAAAATCTAATTTATATCATACATATGCAAAAATCTAAAATCTAATTTTTCTTCACAAAATCTAAATAATTCACAATTAAATTCTAAACTCTAAATACAATAATTTTCGAAATTATTGATAATTTTTTCTCTAATTTGACAAAATTATTGATAATTTACACACTAATTCTTCACAAATATCACAAAATTATTGATAATTTTCCTTCTAATTTTCACATTTATTGATAATTTTCCCTTTAATTTTCACATTTATTGATAATTTCCAATCTAATTTTCACATTTCTTCACAAAATTCGTAAACAATTCACAATTAAATTCTAAAATCTAGATTTCTACATGTAATCACAATCAAATAGTGGGAGAATACAAAAATTAGAGGGTATAGCTTTTTTAGAAAGAATTTACCTTTTTTTTTTGAAAATCTGACTGAGATCCGGTCGGAGGCGGCGGCGCCGGCGGCGGTCGGGATCTGGGGCACTGGCGGGGGTCGGAGGCTGGGGCGGCGGCGGTTGGAGGCTGGGGTGGCGACGGAACTGGGAAGCGGCGTTTGGGAACGAAGTTGAAATGTTAGGGTTTGTGGGCTGGGGTCGGGGGGGTCACGCGCGCTTAAATAGGTGGCAGCAAACTCCACGGGAGTTCAACTCCCGTGGAGTTGCAGTGCCAATTTTCCAGAGACTCGATCTCTGGAAAATTGGCACTGCAACTTCACGGGAGTTGAACTCCCGTGAAGCTACAGTCGCACTTTGCCAGAGAATCGATTCTCTGTAATTGTTGACTGTGACTCCACGGGAGTTCAACTCCCGTGGAGTTTTAAACGAAAATTAAACTTCACGGGAGTTGAACTCCCGTGAAGTTTAATTTCCCCATAAACTTCACGGGAGTTCAACTCCCGTGATGTTTCGGAGAACTTTTCACAAAAACCGACCTGTTTTTAGCTCAGAGCTGAAAACAGGTCGGTTTTTGCAATTATTTTCAAAAGGGGTCGGTTTTTACAAATAAAATCCTAAAACGGTTGGTTTTGAAAATTTGTCCTCAAAATAGAACCAATTTTATTGGTCTTTTAGCCTACGGATAGTTTAGCCAAAAACCGACCCACTTTTTTCCAAACAAATTTCTTTCCGGGAGGGGGGGTCGTGATCAATCCTGTCTCATTTGGAAGTTAGCAAAACTGGTTCTAAAAATGTAAATGCAAATACTAAGTATGGTTCGGTAGGGAGTTTGAGGAGCGAATATGAGAGAAGAGGAGATGCAATAAGGTAGAAGGATGGACATCTCATTAAGCCTTCAAGTTTGGTTCGAGGGAAGATGCTTATTTTTATATTTTATTTTCTTTCTCCATTTGTATCCATCTAGTTTGGAATTCTTCTCTCTTTAACTTCGTATTTTGTAATGTCTCTTCTCTCCCCTCACGTTCCCTCCTGCCAAACCAAGCCTAATCAACTATCGCATTACCCTTCATATACCATTTATATACTGAGCACATAGTAGCCTAGCAATTAGCAGAATAAGGGGAAAGTGATTGCATGATCATGGAGGCTAGATTTTGGCATTTCTTCAAGACATCCTCTTTTTTTTTAATAGTATTCTTCATGACATCTTTGGTATCTGCTTCACAAAAAAGAAGAAGAAAGAGCACATATTACTTTTGATTGACAACAATTTATGATCCAGAACAAGCACAAACTCAGGAAAGTGGAAATTATAAAATTTACACTTCAACATGTCTCTCTTGAGGAACAAAAACCTCTGTACTGTACATTGGCTGTTGCTAAAAGGAAACCCTATATCTAATACAGAAAAAGATCACTCGGGCTCGAGGGATTATGCCAAATAGTTGTATATCTGTGGGTTGCTTTTGTCTCTCTCTAGGTATTCTCTATCAATAAGGCTCTCTATTCTTTTCTTCAGGTCTACCGGCTTTATTGGAAATTTGAGCTGAAAGAAACAGAAATTCCATGAATGAGAATGATAAAAGATCACAAAGAGTTTAGCTTATTTGCACGTTACCTGCTGGAAGAGCTCAGTTATTAAAAGTGTGTGGCTGAGTACTTTCCTTGTCTTCATTATTCGCACAATAGCTGCATCAACCTACAAAACGTATCATGCACATATCAGAAATAAGCCTTCAGGTTCAGATGAAGAGTTTAGAATTTCTTCTTTCCAGTCTTTTATTTGGCCCTGTTTCTTAAATGAAAATAGCAGATAATTCTTCCTCTCTATATATGCCTCTGCACTTTTTTGCTTATCCCAAAAACCACAAGCTTCAATATATAAATAATAAAACATAATTTTCTCCACAAAGAAGGAAATCGCCAGGGGGACGTCTCCCTCCTGCCTCTGTTTCTCATTTCTACGCATATATGCTTAAATTTTGCTCTAGATCAACCTTTTTCAACATATTGATGTTGGATTTTGAAAGATCAATCTATAATGCCTGACAAATATGGATTTCAACCAAAACTTTTCAAGCACTGGTGGCGATGATAGTGCTATAATATTGGGCGTCATATGACATTGCAGCTACCATAAGCATACTTAGCATTGCCATACAAAAAGGCTTTAATTTTGTGGGGAACAGGTACGAACTAAGGTACAGAAAAGGCCATGCTCCAGCCAAGAAAGGAAATGTGGAGGACTGGGTGGAAGTAACCTCTCGCTAAGGTCAATGATAGTTATCCAGCTTATTCTAGGAACTACAAGTTTATTGAGGGTCTGCCTGATATAATTGCATTCTAGAGTTTCTTCCCCAAGCTAAGAAATGCATTTATACACACAAGACACTGATGCATGGAAAATTCTAAAAGGCTACATACTTGATAGCAACTCCACGAAAAGAAGTGGCATTCATGTATTTTGGCCAAAGCGGAAAGCAGTGATATTCCAGTATTTTTCCAACTATATTACTGCTTAAGGATAATTGACCATGCTTCAAACATTCTAAGTCAGATCAGTGAATCAAGTAGCGAAGGTATTGCCCATAAAGCCCTCTCTATGTACCCACACATGAATCCTGCCTGATTAGGGGTGCAAAAAAATGAATAAATACAGATATGATTAGTAAACATCAATATCCAATAGCGTATGATTACATAAACAAATGTGTTGTGAAATATCCGGATCCAAATCTGAAATATCCGAATATATATTGATCATACAGATGCAATTATCTTGACTATTAGATTAATGGATTCGAGGTTAATTGTGATGATCTACACATCTAATATTAGCTTTGCAGATATAATGAACATATTAATGGACTCTTATATCATATGTTGATATATCTAAATGTATGTTGATCATACAACCGCAATTGTTTTGACCATCAGATTAATGGATTTGAGGTTAATATTAATAATCCACTAATCTAATATAAGGCTTTCAAATATAACGAGCATATTAGTGGACCCTCTTATATCATATGACATGTATCTTCTTCAATCTTATATCTCACACAAATTTTGTATCCACATGTAGTTTTTCTTATTGGATACGCATGCACATCACATTTTGGTAGATATGAATGAGTTTTCTTTACCGAGACATATCCATATTCATATTCATATCCATGATTGGTAAGCAAATATCGATACAGTAAGCATAATATCCAATCAGTATCCGATACATTTCCACCCTTACACCAGATGCATGACTTTCTAGTAGTTTTTTAAATACTACCTCCTTTGACCTTATGCACATAACATATTTAATAATGAGTTTCTAGATATTGGTCCCTCAAATTTCATCTATTTTAATACAAGTTAATTCCCCAAATCTTTATATTTTGAAATAAGTCCTCTGAAATTCTTAAGTTCTTGGTTTAATTTTTGTTTTTCTTTTTTCCCACTGTTTTAACTGTTTTATCCTTGCCTTCAACCTTCTTCCAACAGTAACCTGACATCTCTTCTGATCCCATTTCTCACTTTCAGACCTATGGATCTCCAAACTCTCCACTGAAAGCCTTACGGACATGCCGCCTCGCATTCTCGATGTCAGGTCAGAAGTCTGGTTGCTATTGAGTTTCCTTGCATTTAATTTTTGTTGATGTAATTATGCCGAGGGATTTTGTATCAAATGCTTGATTTTTTATCAAAACACAAGATTTTATCCTTTGGGCCAAGAATTCTTTGTTTCTGAACTTTTCTATTTTGTTTACTTTCTACTTTTAAAAAAACAAGCATAACCAATTTTTGCGATAAAGTCCCTAAAAGACTAAGGCCTTCCATTTCAACAACATTGCTGGGGGGAGGAAGGTCATGCCCATTTTCCATTGATCCATCATTATATACTACTACTTTGTTATACACCGCTTGATCA